GCAAATAGATACAGCAACAGTGTGTCAGGAGTATCATGAATTGGGATTCCATGGCCAAGCAGCTGCACACAAGCCTCAAATCATCACTATGTGCAGTACCAAGTGTTGGCTGGAGCAGTGTAAAGCACACCACCACCAGACTCTGGAGCAGTGGAAACGTTCTCTGGAGTGATAAATGATGCTTTATGTGGTGGTCTGGTGGATGAATCTGAGTTTGACAGATGACAGGAGAATGCTACCTAGTGGAAAGACATTTTAGGCAATTATTTGCTTCCAACTTTGTGGCAACATTTTGGGGAAGGTCCTTTCCTCTTCCGGCAAGACTATGTCCATAAAAACATGGTTTGATGAATTTGGTGTGGAGGAACTCCAGTGAACCTGCACAGAGCCCTGACCACAACCCCACTGAACCCCTTTGAGATGAATTAGAAGACTGAATGCAAGCCAGGCTTTCTTGACCAACATTGGTGCCAGACTTTACACATGGTCTTTTGACTGAATGGGCTCAAATTTCCACAGACACACTCCAAAATCTTATAGAAAGCCTTACCAGATGAGTGGATGCTGTTATAGCCACAAAGGGGGGCCAACTTCATATTAATGCCTATGGTTTTGGAATGGGATGTCCAACAAGCTCATGTAGGTGTGATGGTCAGGTGTCCACATACTTGTTATGTCATGTATATGAATTAGAAAATGATCTCAAACAGTTATTGAGACATTAATGAATTTAATTGAATTCTAACAACTCACTCGTCTAAAAATAAGATTGAGTTGTGTGAAGTTGGTCAGTATCATAGCATAGCACGATGGACCTGCTGATATGTGCTGTTGTACTTGCAGTTGGCTTTCAGAATTATGGTAGTCCACTGTAGCTAACAGATTGGTTAAACATCACACACAGCTAATCAGATAATGACTTCCTCTGAAAACACACCAATGCCCCTTCTGAAATTGTCCTCAGGCGAAGTCAGACATCTGGAGAACTATCAGAGGTCAGTTGAGACTAATTTCTTTCATAAGAAACATGTCCTTATATGATCACCATGGAATTAGTTCTACATATATACTCCCATATTTAAAGGATAGAGTAAACACAAACTTTAAAGTGAAAGCACGGTGGCCTACAAATGCATATTCATTGCAACTGGCATGATTATTACAGTACATTCATACATATGCATGTAGAATGATGCACCAGTGGCCTGAAAGGATTATAATGTACTAAAATCAGGGCGTGCAACTGATTAAGGTAGCAACACTGCTGACAACACACTGTCCTTTAGTTATTTTAATACATTTCCCATATCTGTTGCACTTCATCATGTTCAAAAGGCCACATTTAGGACAAGAAGCACAGCATTGGTATCAGATGCACAGCAGGAAAGAGAGATTCATTGCAGTGTTGGATTTCATCAGTGAGACCTGAACAGGCTCTCATGCAAACTGATATGAACAGGCTTTAAGGTTAGGACTATATGAAGCTGACTGTGCAGCCAGTTATATGCATCTTTTGTAAAGTAAGGAGTATTAGGTTGTTGGGTACATGTGAGGGCCTTGAGTTTCACGGTGTTATGGTCACGACTGTGGGCTTTATCATAGTCACCCCCCTGGTTCTGTCCATAAAATATGGCTATGGTGCTGTCCGTGGTCCTGAAGCGTAAACCTGATGCTAAAGATTACTGAAGTTGCTATCCGTGGTGCTGAGGCCTGGAACTGAGTTTAAAGACTAGAAACGGTGCTGTCTGTACTCAAAACTGGAGCTGATGCTTAAGGCAAGAGATGCTGCTGTCTGTGGTGCTGAAAACTATAGCTGATGCTTAAGGCCAGAGATTCTGCTGTCCGTGGTTCTGAAAACTGGAGCCCAAGTCAAAGGCAACACATGGCGCTGCCCATGGTGCTGGAGGCTGAAAGTGGTGCTGTCCCTGATGCTGAACACTAGGGGTGGTGCTGTCCGTGGTCCTGAACATGAAGCTACTGCCATTTCTAATCACAAATGAGCTTTCTGTTTATTCAAACAAACAAGTCTCAGGTTTTATTATCACTTATATTGTCAGTTGTATTGTTCTAAAACACAGGTGTTCAGTCCTGGGAGAGTTTAGATCCAACACACCTGGCTCTGATATTAAGATGTTCATTACCTGAATCAGGTATGTCCAGTTAATATTGGAGCTAAACTCTGCTCCAGGACCAGAAGTAGGCACTCCTGTTCTAGAAGGTTCAAAAAATACAGGTTTATAATGATCATGATTAGGAAAGTGTGGTGGATCGGTCACACCTGACTGATACCTGAGATATTAAAAGGTATCAGCACCCACACTAATCCATACCAGCCTGGCGCGTCACTACTACTAATAAGTCGAAGGCATTCAGGTTGCTTTGACAGCTAAGAAAGCTTATCTTTTTGACTAGCTCTGATCAAAGTGACCCCAGTCTAGCAGCAGATCTAAGCCCACTACTGCTCTGCATCACACGCTGTGCAGTAAACATATGATGTACAGTGAGTGGAATGTGGACATGCTGATATGGCTCGTAATGCCTCATTAAACTAATCTTGTAAAGCGCCGCTGAACTACTGTAGATAGCGCTGATGGCCGTCTGTCTCTGTCCCGCGTATCACACGTCTCCTCCATTCCTGTAGGAACGTTATCGGGGAGCGGAGGGGCGCGAGCCAGAGCGGGGCTGGTTGTCCCATTAAGACAGTCGTCTTTTGAGGGGGGGGGGCGGTGGCTGAAGGCTGCACACATGCAGACATCACCGTTTGCCCTCCTGTCCCGCCTTAGTTCCTTTAAATGTGCCATATCGCGCGCAGCCCCTTCCCCTCCAAACACCGGCGCTGCATCACTGCTCGCAGGGTTGCCTAGCAACTAGGCAGCACACAGATCCCTGCAGAAACCCTCATCTTCAGTGGAGAAGAAAATAAAATAATAATAATACACAAAACTGGTCTGTTTGTAGCATGTGCGTTTCTAGGTTCGTAATGTGAAATAAACGGATGAGTTTTTGAAGGATGAGGGCCACACTCGCTCCTATTTACACGTGAACATGTGTAATTGGATTGGAGGAAATTAAACGGACATGCTATGCTATGCATGTGAATTGAATTCACAGTTGTGAATATATATATGTATGTATGTATGTATGTATGTATGTATGTATGCATAGGGTGAAAAATTGTAAACAAAACATGAAAATATGAATCGATTTTTGCTCGCGTGCTGAAATCTGTGCCAAACTGCTGGAAACGCAGCGGAACGCACTCGGCGCATTTTAATGTGGGTTGTTGCGGGAGAGGACCGGCTCGTGCAGACATCGGTCCCCTCAGCGATAGGGCGCATGCACGGACCTGCCTTTCTCCTCTTCGGTTCTCTTTCGCTTTTATTCGGTTTCTTTCTTTTTTTATTTATTTATTTTCATTTTTTATCCCCTCCAAAAAAACAAACATCTAAAAACCGATCGGCGTCGTATTCGTCTCTCTCTCTCTCTCTCTCTCTCTCTCTTCCAAGCTCGAGTGAGCTGGACTTTTTATCTCTCTCTCTCTCTCTCTCTCTCTCTCTCTCTCGCTCTCTCTCGCTCTCTCTCTCTCCTCGTGTCGGTTCCTCCCCACTGAAGTGTGTCATCACTCGGGCTCCGTCTCTCCGCCAAGGCGAGCGAGCGGGACATGCAGGACTGACGGCGCGCGCATAAAGGGATTCTGGGGGGCTTCTTCTCCAGCAGGGCACAATCTTGGACTTTTCTACCTGTTCTTTCTTTTTGTATCGCGACCATTTGTCCATCTGGTCTTTGTGTTTTTTCCTCCTCCTTCTTCTTCTTCTTCTTCTTCTTCTTTCTCGCGCGCTCGTCATTTGCGCACAGTTTGGTTTTGTACCTAAAGCCGACATTTCTTGGTCGGTCGCAATTTTTGAGAAAAAATCTTTTTTTTTTTTTGGTTTGTTTTGTTTTCAACTTCATAACGGGGGCCACCACAGACTCCACTCTCTGACGTCCGCATCTGGCTTTTTTTAATGTGCATTCCTCACTCTCCTTCTTCACCATCATCTTCATCATCAGCGAGGAAGCCAATCTCGAGCATCGAGAGAGACTGCGAGGGGGATGCTGCTTTCATTTTTCTCCCTTTTCGCCCACTGCACCCCCTGACACCCACCCCCCAGCACCAGCCCGACGTTTCCAGCTGAGGGAGGTTTAAAAAAGAAAAAATAAAGCAAAGGAAAAGAAGAAAAAGACCTTAAAACAACAGAGAGAGAGAGGAACAACCCCCCCTCTCTCCCTCCCCCCTCCTCCTCCTCCTCCTTCTCATCATCATCATCATCACCAGCATGGCTCATCCGCACCTTCGGACTGGGAATCCGCAGCAGCGAGAGTAAAAAAACGAAGGAAGGAAGAAGAGGAAAAAAGAAGAAGACGGTTCTTTTCTTTCTCTTTTCGTTCTTTTCTCTTCCTCTCTCCCCCCTTCTTCCTCCTCACCGCTACTATCCCCCCCCCCTCCTCTTCCTCCTCGATTTGCCTTCGTGCTTCGGCTCCAGGAGACTTTTTTTCCTTTTTTTTCAGCACTTTTTCAAAACTCCCCTCCGTTTATCCCCCTCTCCCCCCCTCAAAAAGGAAAAAAAAAACAACAACAGAAGAAGAAGAAGAATCTGAGGAAGATGTGTAATGCTGCTGTGGCCGAGGGGGTCTGGGACCTGCACGGATTTCCATAGCCGAGGAAAGGAAAACATAAAAAAAAAGAAAAAGAAAAAAAAACAGCTGGGACCCATTACACCCCCGTCTCCACTCCAATGCCTCTTTCTGTTTTTTAATATTTCCTTTTCTTTCATGGCCATCACACATGTGTGTGTATGGTTGCTTGGGTTTTGATTTGAGCTATTGATTTGGCCTCTTTTTTTATTCTCCTTCCCACTGTTTGGATTTTTTTTTTCCTCATTCATTAGTAGAATTCCCTCTCGTTTTGGAACCGCTGGAGGTTGGATTACTGAAAGTGCATTAAACGGATTTTTGTGGAAATGTTGGGTCCTCAGGAAGACAAACTATGTGGATTGCTTTCTGCTCTGACGGTGCTGTCGTCTATCTGCTTCGTACAATGGTAAGAAAAAAAAAATTTAGTGAACAGGGCTGGTGGGATTCCTTGTTTTTTTCCCCTTTTATTTAAACACATGTGGTCATTCAGCGCTGACCGTTCGCTGATGGCCAGTGGCACATAGCTGTCATTGGCATAAACACTTGAGATGTGTATTTGTGTATGTGTGTGTGTGTATGTGTGTGTGTGTACGTGTGTATGCTCGCGCTCACCCGTCTGTGTGTGAAAGAAACATGAGCGCGTGCACTGTGCATATCTTCTAAATCTACATAACGCTCATATTTATACGTGAATATGGTTCATTTCTTTAAGAGCTCTGGCTGCATCGGCGTACGTGCCATTTCCACAAAAACGAGCCGAACATACAGGTTTTTGACTGCCGGAGACATTTTCATTGCTCCCTCTCAACACCCCATCACCATACCGTCTAAATTCTACATTCAGTGCCGTTCAGTCAATGGAGATCCAACACCGACGACGCCTATCAGTAGCCTAAATAGGCCTGTTGCCTCACGACACGGAGGCCTGTCTGTCTGAACGCCATCAGAAAGATTCTCACCCTCTCTGAGATTTGCTAGTACGCAATCTTTGCTCCTTTTCCAGTGAGCTGTTTTGTGGGCCACCTGTGGACGTGATAAATAGCCAGCCGGTGGCCATCGTAATCTGGTGGCCATCGTGAGGCGTTCATACTTTGTACGCCTTTTTGCTTTATATTTTTAGCCAGAAAGATAGGAGCTGCCGGCAGGTGGGCCACAGTCTGGTCACCGTGATCGTTCAAGGGCTATCGCTGAAGCTGCTAATCTACATCCCTCTCACTGGTTCTCACGGTTCCGGATGTTTTCTCATGAGCTCAGAGGGGAGAAGCTTGAGTTTCAGTCACAAACCATGTCAACCATGTTGGGTTTAACATGCATGCTTTATGGCTGGAAAACCCAAAGTGAAGCAAGCTAATGAGCCATGGGTTTAAAGAATGCTGGCAATGTGGTGATGCTCTTTAGACCACATCAGGAACTGAATATAGATGGTCATGCTAGGTGTTTACAATGGTTATAAGGCTACATAAGTCTTTCATGACTGACACAAACCTTCACAAACCTTGTTCCTTTGGTCCACTTTGATGCCATTTCACTTTAGCAAGTGAGACCCATTGGAATATACATTCATAAATGGCTATATAGGTTTGTCTGTTGTCTCAACAGACTTGTAGAGGTGTGGCTGCTATTCTGTGGGACTTATCCAGGGTTCATTGACTTGCATGGTAAAGAGACCGATAAAGCTCAACACTCTGTTCAGGTGTTATTCTACAAGTTCGATGGTCACTAATATTTTTGTAATCATCTTCACATATGACGTATTGGGCAAAGATTCAAGTATTGTGGCACATCAGATCACTTTGGATAGTGACAAGCATGTCATAGACCTTGAATGACAAAACCATTCCTTAATCAATTTACCACTAGGACTTAATTGGCCTGAGTAATAAAAAATCCACTAGCTAGCGTCAGCTAAAATCAGAATCAGAACAAGAAGTTCTTAAAGTGTCCCCTATTACTTGACAGCCTAGTATATCTCATTTTGACTTACTGTGTCTTGTTCATGAAGTGTCACACTTATAGGCCAGTTTTCTCTCTCTTTCTCAAAACAATACCAACAAAAAATGGTGGACCGCTGCTTGAGTCCTGAGGTGACCTATTGCCCAAGCAAGCTCAATTTCTCCAGCAATACTAGCCACTCATTTAAGAAATATTTCTATGTGTTGCTTCTATTATTCTAACTAAGTGATCTGAACTGTCTCTCCTATAGCACATCCACTGGATCTGGAATATCTGTGGCCAAGACGACAGTGGACAAACTGCTGAAGGGGTATGACATCCGTCTGCGGCCAGATTTTGGAGGTACGTCCACCCCTCTTGTCACCTATTCTGGAGCCTTTCAGCTTTACCTGTCATTAGTGATGTAAACTAAGAGAGTCCATGTTAAATTTGATGCTAAGTTCTGCAAGATGCTGCCTCCATTGTGTAATCAATGGATCTTGCCATTCTGATTGTAGCTCATGTCACAGCCAAGTGCCAGAAGAACTGAAATATAGAAGTACTGTGATAAATTTTGATGTATGATGTTGACCTCACACTATGGCAGAATCAAACCAAAGATTAGGGTGCAGCAGAGGTCAGGAATCTCTGAAGGGAATGTTCTCAAGAGGGTTCACCACCAACATAGAGCGTGTCTGAGTAAGAAAAACTCAAAGCGGACAGTTTTGAAAGAGCCTCACTGCAATGTTTGGTTGATCTTCCCCGCACCCCACCCATTGCCTTTCCAAGGACGTAATAGTACCGGTGGAATGTTTGATTACGCCGACTCCACAGTCCTTGTCTTTGCCTTCAAAAAAGGCAGAAACTATAGAAGGACTTCTAAAGGCTGAGCACACGGTTTCAGCTCTGTAGTTCTGTACACGTTCACAACTTTAAAGGACCCCAGAGATGCTTCTCCAACCACAGAACACAGAAAAACTTTGCCTCGCCCACAAAAATGCGTCGTTTGAAGGACACTGTGTCCAACCATTCATCACAGGTCTCCGGTTCACCTCCTGATATTGCAAAGAGGCTGTAAATTTGCTACCGAAGGTGCTTTTTTTCGATTTAGCCATTCAGCTCACCCTCAGCAAATTAGCCTGTATTTCACCAAAGAAGCAAATCTATGCTGGGAAGTGTACAGAGCACAGCACTATCAAATTCACTAGAGGTCTGAGCAAGCTGAACAGTGGTACTGCAAGACAGTTTCTTTTTCTCTATCTATATATGTATCTATCTATCTATCTATCTATCTATCTATCTATCTACATACATATATCCATCCACCCATCCATCTACCTCAATCCATCCGTCTACTATTCCAACTACTATACTACTATTAAAAATAAAAGTTCCTACATAGTTCTTAGCTTGTAGGGAAAAAAAAAACTTTAATTGGTATAGACACTTTACATTATGTTTAGGTTCTTTAAACTTTAAAAAGGTTCTTCACAAGCACATATTTCATGTATAAAAATGTTTACTTTAAACAATTGTTCCTATATCATTCATTCATTAATTCAGAGCTGACATTTGATTATATATAACCCAGTCTGTTTTTGCAATATGCCAGTGCAGTCCACCATGTGCACATTCACCCTCACTCACTCTAGTTTGGCTGGCTTGAAATTATTTATTGAATTTTCCTTTTCAAAGCAAGATTACACGGATGTTATTACATTGTAATTACTATATCAATTCCAAGTCCTCTCAATTCTGTACCCAACAAAAGAGATATAAGAAGTTCTGCTTGAGGCAATCAGAATCAAAAACTCTTGCCTTTTGTTTTGTGGTTGGAGCTGATCTGGCAGTACACCCTTAAATGGTTCTAGGATTAGATACTTGGTTCTAGGAAAAACTTTAGTTGGTATAGAATCTCTAGATTACACTCTTAAGAAGTCATTTAGGCAACGCCACAGAAGAACCATTTTAATTACCTAAAGAACCATGTTTGTAAATGAGATTTGTGGCTGTGAAGCATCTTTTAAGTGTATAAAGAATTTTCAAATAATGTAGTTGTTTACCAATTTAAGGGTTCTTTCTACAACTTTTATGAGGAGGTTCTTTAAACTTTAACAAGATTCTTCACACTCACACATCTCATTTACAAAAATGGTTCTCTAAAGAACCATCCATTGAATAACCAAAAATGACAAGGAATACAAGAAATATAAATGCCTTTATTTTCAATTGTTTGTGGAGGTTCAGTCTGTAAAAGGTTCATCGCATTCAAGCATGGATAGGGAATCATTCATTGAAAGGTTCTTTAGGAAACCTAGTGGTACTTCAAAGGCATCACTCTAAAAAACCCTTTCTGACACAAATGTTTTTAGTGATATCACACTAAATCATTCCATCATCATTCAAAGCTCAGTTTGCCTTAAACAACTGCTGATCACCTTTGGGTTGGAGACCGTGCATGCATTTTAATTGGATTGGAAACATGGCTGAGTTGGCCACAAAGGTACTAAGAGAAAAATGATAGAGAGAGACAGAGAGAGAGAGAAAGAGAGAGAGAGGTGGGTTCGGTAGTAGAGAAACCAAACTGCCACAAAAGTGCTTTCCGCTGGGTTGGGGGGAAGCTGCAGGGTCCAGTTAATGTCAGTATGTGTGTGTGCGTTTATGAGTATTTGTGAGTGTAAGAGAGAGAGAGAGAGAGAGAGAGAGAGACCACACCATTCATGTGAAGTCCAAACCAACCATGCTTTTTGTCCCAAACAAACAAACACATGCACACACAATAGGGGTCGCATTTACAAGTTGACTGGTCGAATAATAAATCTACTGCTTGGCACTGTGGGCAGCAACTGACTAGTTAAAAACAGAACCTAAAATATAGCCGTGGTAAAAACTGCAGTGAACAGGCAGGTGGAGCAAAAACAACTCTTCATTGCAGTGGAAATACCACACAAAATGAAACCAGTTCCCCTGCAAGCTGTGTAAGATTACGAGTACCTTTTGAGAGCCATTGTCCCCGATAAGAAGGTGTGATTTGACAGACATGCAAAATGACCAATCACAGAACATTTACGGCAACATCTGCACAAACAAAAAACAAACGCATGTTAAATAAAGTGGAGTACCAGTTGCCAATGAAGAGATCTCGTTTACTTGCTAAATACAACTTCAAACAAAATTCAGGAATCACTTCGGAAAATGAGATATCGTAAATGTTTCTTGGCCTGTGACAAGGCCTATGTCTGGCTCTGAAAGGCTTACTGGTGTGAGACACACTTGTTACCTACTAGCATTTAGCTTGATATGCAATTGTTTATTTTCTATCAGACTGATAAAAGAGATGTACGATTCTGAGAGCTGTGGTGATTTTATCTAAGGCTGAAACTTACTGAAATACAACAAAAAACTCTTCTCGTACTTCAAATAGCAGCCCCAGCTCCTATTAGCAAGCTTCTAACAAAATACTTTACACACGCCCTTTTTTAAAATATGGTAACGATGACTCATCAACTAGTCGACAACTGTTTGCATGACTAGATGACTAGTAAACATGAATGTGTGCAACCCTTAATATACACCCATACCATATCAATACTCCAGTGGCTTGATGTCCATGGCATTCCTGAAGATATCAGGCCTCAATTCATATTTGATCATCAAAGCTGTCACCATTGTCATTCTCCATGAAATACAGCACATTATAGCAATGGGATTGTCTTCTTGACTTCAGTTTGCTGTGATGAAGAATGCAGGCACCTTGTTTGTGAATGATAATTCTCTACTTATCAAGGTCCGATTTCTAGACCTTTCTCCTTTTCATTATGTCAAGCAAACTTACGTAGTCTTAAACTGCTTTGTTTCTAATAAGTAAACATCTGCATCATATCATGCAAGTTGTAACCTCATAAAAAGTTCAGATAGGCCAGGCTCAACCTATCTGACACAGCAGCTTTGCTCTCATGTCTTGTTGCGCCGTTCATTGTTTTGCCAGTAGCAGATGATGAGCCTTCGTGTTTCGTCTTTGCTCTGCTCTCGTCTTTGCTCGGCTTTCTTGTTTGCGCAGTAGTTTATTGGCTTTGGCTCCAGTTCCTCAACAAATAGCCCATGGATGGTAGTGTGCTATCTGAGCTCGAGAGAGAGAGACAGAGAGAGAGAGAGAGAGACAGAGAGAGAGAGAGCAGAGAGAGAGAGAGAGAGAGAGAGAGAGAGAGAGTGAAACCTGGCTGAGCAGAACTCCAAACCACCAGGGTCCTCTACACAATTGCAACATGATGAAGAGGATACAAAGGGCTTATGGGATTCATGATGCGAACTATGGTGGAGATGATGGCCCACATGATGATGATAATGATGACCATGATCATAATCATCATCATCATCGTCATCATCATCATGCTCAGTGCAGTTTTTATGCTGATTTTTTGAGCGCCTGATTTCTCGGGAATCATCAAAAAACATCAGGCGAATTTTAGGCATTGCAACTCTACAGTCTGAAAAAGAAAGGGTTCTTGGCTTTCTGGTTCTAGGAAAATTTTAAATATCATCGCTGCCCAAAGAAAAACAAATATCTCCAAAATGGCAACTTTATAGAAGAGGCCAAAAATGTTCTTTACTTTTAATGTAAGTTAATGTAAAGACATTTTATTTCAAGCTGTTTTGGAGCATTTCTTTTTTCCGTTCATCAAGAAATGTTCACATAATGTAAAGGGCAGCTGCTGTGTTTTAATGATGGAAAAAAACAAAAATCAACAAAAAATGGAGAGACTTTTTTTTTGGACAGTGACGATATGTTCCATGCTTCCATCTCTTCCACAAAAATGGTAGTTTGATGAATTATCCAACATCAGGTTCTCTAGGGAACATAAAGAACTTCTATGGTATCACTCCAAAGAATTTTGGTACCTTTATTTTTAAGAATGTAAAAGCCTTTGAATGGCAAACTATTGAAACCCAGCAGTTCCACATTTACCATATTCTCCAGTGCTGGTCCTGATGTGATGTTTTAACTGTGAGGGGATTTTCTTGGCTCTTGGTTTGCCTTTAGGTCTGTAAATGTGGACATTTTTATATCTGGCTGTTAAAAGTTATGGTATGGACTTCATATTCATATCTCAGCATTATTTAATAGTGAAGTACAGCCCTATAATGATGTATTCGGTTTATCATTTTAGTTCAATTATAAATGTTTCAGAAGCAATGCAGATTCACCATGGACACAATATTAAGAACAATTAAAAACTTATTGGTATTCAAAGGCATTTTTTGCAGATCTTTCCATTGAACTAACTAAATGTAGGCTTCTATGACTCAATTTTATGGAATTATTATATACGTAAGGCACAACTTTACAGGTGAAAGGGGTTATT